AAACCAGCTTTTAGCTTTGTTAATTTTTGCTATGATCTCTTTAGTTTCTTTTGCATTTATTTCTGCCCTAATTTTTAAGATTTCTTTCCTTCTACTAACCTTGGGGTTCTTCATTTCTTCCTCCTCTAGTTGCTTTAGCTGTAGAGTTAGGTTATTTGACTTTTTTCTTGTTTCTTGAGGTAGGCCTGTAATGCTATGAATCTTCCCCTTAGCACTGCTTTTACAGTGTCCCATAGGTTTTGGGTTGTTGTGTTTTCATTTTCATTCATTTCTATGCATATTTTTATTTCTTTTTTGATTTCTTCTATGATTTGTTGGTTATTCAGAAGCGTGTTGTTTAGCCTCCATATGTTTGAATTTTTAATAATTTTTTTCCTGTAATTAAGATCTAATCTTACTGCACTGTGGTCAGAAAAGATGACTGGAATGATTTCAAGAAATAAAAGGAATCCAGATAGGAAAAGAAGAAGTGAAACTCTCTCTGTTTGCAGATGACATGATCCTCTACATAGAAAATCTTAAAGACTCTACCAGAAAATTACTAGAGCTAATCAACGAATACAGTAAAGTTGCAGGATATAAAATTAACACACAGAAATCTCTTGCATTCCTATACACTAACAATGAGAAAACAGAAAGAGAAATTAAGGAAACAATACCATTCACCATTGCAACAAAAAGAATAAAATACTTAGGAGTATATCTACCTAAAGAAACAAAAGACCTATACATAGAAAACTATAAAACACTGATGAAAGAAATCAAAGAGGACACAAACAGATGGAGAAATATACCGTGTTCATGGACTGGAAGAATCAATATTGTCAAAATGGCTATACTACCCAAAGCAATCTATAGATTCAATGCAATCCCTATCAAACTACCAACGGTATTTTTCACAGAACTAGAATGAATAATTTCACAATTTGTATGGAAATACAAAAAACCTCGAATAGCCAAAGTAATCCTGAGAAAGAAGAAAGGAACTGGAGGAATCAATCTGCCTGACTTCAGACTATACTACAAAGCCACAGTCATCAAGACAGTATGTTACTGGCACAAAGACAGAAATATAGATCAATGGAACAGAATAGAAAGCCCAGAGATAAGTCCACGAACCTTTGGTCACCTTATCTTCGACAAAGGAGGCAAGGATATACAATGGAAAAAAGACAATCTCTTTAACAAGTGGTGCTGGGAAAACTGGTCAACCACCTGTAAAAGAATGAAACTAGAACGCTTTCTGACACCATACACAAAAATAAACTAAAAATGGATTAAAGATCTAAATGTAAGACCAGAAACTATAAAACTCCTAGAGGAGAACATAGGCAAAACACTCTCCGACATAAATCACAGCAGGATCCTCTATGATCCACATCCCAGAATTTTAGAAATAAAAGCAAAAATAAACAAATGGGACCTAATGAAACTTAAAAGCTTTTGCACAACAAAGGAAACTATAAGCAAGGTGAAAAGACAGCCCTCAGATTGGGAGAAAATAGCAAACGAAGCAACAGACAAAGGATTAATCTCAAAAATATACAAGCAACTCCTGCAGCTCAACTCCAGAAAAATAAATGACCCAATCAAAAAATGGGCCAAAGAACTGAACAGACATTTCTCCAAGGAAGACATACAGATGGCTAACAAACACATGAAAAGATGCTCAACATCACTCATTATCAGAGAAATGCAAATCAAAACCACAATGAGGTACCATTACACACCAGTCAGGATGGCTGCTATCCAAAAGTCTACAAGCAATAAATGCTGGAGAGGGTGTGGAGAAAAGGGAACCCTCTTACACTGTTGGTGGGAATGCAAATTAATACAGCCACTATGGAAAACAGTGTGGAGATTTCTTAAAAAGCTGGAAATAGAACTGCCATATGACCCAGCAATCCCACTTCTGGGCATACACACCGAGGAAACCAGATCTGAAAGAGACACGTGCACCCCAGTGTTCATCGCAGCACTGTTTATAATAGCCAGGGCATGGAAGCAACCTAGATGCCCATCAGCAGACCAATGGATGAGGAAGCTGTGGTACATATACACCATGGAATATTACTCAGCCATTAAAAAGAATTCATTTGAATCAGTTCTAATGAGATGGATGAAACTGGAGCCCATTATACAGAGCGAAGTAAGCCAGAAAGATAAAGACCATTACAGTATACTAACACATATATATGGAATTTAGAAAGATGGTAATGATAACCCTATATGCAAAACAGAAAAAGAGACTCAGATGTATAGAACAGACTTGTGGACTCTGGGAGAAGGCGAGGGTGGGGTGTTTCAAGAGAACAGCATTGAAACACGTATATTATCTAGGGTGAAACAGATCACCAGCCCAGGTTGGGTGCATGAGACAAGTGCTCGGGCCTGGTGCACTGGGAAGACCCAGAGGGATCGGGTGGAGAGGGAGGTGGGAGGGGGGGACCGGGATGGGGAATACATGTAAATCCATGGCTAATTCATCTCAATGTATGACAAAAACCACTGCAATGATGTAAAGTAATTAGCCTCCAACTAATAAAAATAAATGAAAAAAAAAAAAAGAAAAATATGCACCGAAAAAAAAAATAAAAATAAAAAAAATAAAAAGCAGAGACATTACTTTGTCAACAAAGGTCCGTCTAGTCAAGGCTATGGTTTTTTCCAGTAGTCATGTATGGATGTGAGAGTTGGACTTTAAAGAAAGTTGAGTGCTGAAGAATTGATGCTTTTGAACTGTGGTGTTAGAGAAGACTCTTGAGAGAGTCCCTTGGACTGCAAGGAGATCCAACCAGTCCATCCTAAAGGAGATAAGTCCTGCGTGTTCATCCGAAGGACTGATGTTGAAGCTGAAACTCCCAATACTTTGGCCACCTGATGCAAAGAACTGACTCATCTGAAAAGATCCTGATGCTGGGAAAGATTGAAGGCACTAGGAGAAGGGGACAACAGAGGATGAGATGGTTGGATGGCATCACCGACTCAATGGACATGAGTCTGGGTAGACTCCAGGAGTTGGTGATGGACAGGGAGGCCTGGCATGCTGCAGTTCATGGGGTCGCAGAGTTGAACACGACTGAGGAGCTGAACTGAACTGAGTGGCTCAGTGGTCGAATCCACCTACAATGCAGGAGACATGGGTTTGATCCCTGTGTCAGGAAGATTCCTTGGAGGAAGAGATGGCAACCCACTCCTGTATTCTTTCTGGGAAAATCCATGGACAGAGGAGCCTGGCAGGCTATAGTCCACGGGATTGCAAAGAGTTAGACATGACTGAGCAGAGCTCATGCTTGCTTGCTTGCTACCATATTGGGGCTTCTTTCCACCGTAAATTTCTATGAAAGTCACTGTCTATTCCGTCAATTTTGCTAGGATCACATTCTATCTTAAAATTTAACCAAATTCTTTCATGTTTTTGTGACATGTATGTGTCTTTTACCAAATAAACAGTAAGCTCCTGGTAAAGGTCCCTCGGGGATTTTCCAGTCTCATTTGTTATTCAGTCAAATTATTAATCCTAGTTAACTGAACCTGTAAATATTAAAAAGTTTTCTTTGCATGTAAAGATACCCATCTTATATAAGGGTAAAAGAGGACAACCTTCTTGAATACCACATGATAATTTTAAGAATTTACTTCTGCATATGCATGTGAATAACAACTGAATATGTAGGTGTAGACAGATGACACAATTTCCTTCCTTGCTCTACTACTTTGTATTTCTGAACTGTACTTCTCAACTTATGTGTTCAAGGCTTGTGACCTACTACCTCCACATAAACTAAGGTATTAATTTATGAATACTAGGAGAAACTATAAACAATAGACAATTCTGTGAAAACAGCTTAAAATTCATTTAATATTTAGGCCTAAGAAATCTCTTTCTATAAAATCTGAACATGTTAAAGAGACTCTATCTGGGTCTCGAGACGTTGTAGCCCCAACACTTAAAAACAGCAGGAGGTGGTTCTGGGACCAGCAGAACACTCTAAAGCTAAAGCCTCCCCAAGCACTAAATAAAAAGACACCAGGCAGGTGACTTGTATGAAGTATCAGTCATAGCACAATATGAAGCTTTCTAAGAGTTAAAATGTGCTATTTACATGGAAGGAGATAACACTAACTAGTTAGGAAGTGCTAGTTTAGAGAAGCAAAGACCAACCTAATCCATATTATTTACAGAATAGAGAATGCTCTCAGCTAAAGTGCTGGGGGGAAAAAAATTGGCCCAGAAAGGCAGAATTACAATCAGTACAAGATTTATAAAACCCATCATGTTCAAATATAATGACAAAAAACAAATAAACACTTATTTATTTAAAAAAACAAATTCACAAAACCAAAACTTATCTTAGCATTTTTTTTATTAGTCTGACTTTACTTTTTAATGGTCTTCAATGTATCTGTGATAAAAATAAATAAAAGTGCTAAAGTGTTAAGAAACCACATGCTAACTTAGGATGTTATCTGTATTTTTTAAGCCCAATCAATGTTTTTTTTAATGGAGATACTGGCCCTTTTTCTCTGAAAATAAATGTTTATATGTCTCACCAACAACACCAGCCTGTAGCACAGAACATCAAACATTAAAACACAATGCCATTAAAAAACAAACAGGAATCCTGAAAGAGAAAAGAAACTCTAGTTTTAATATAGTAAATTGTACCCAGAGACTCCCTTCCCATTATCCTTTAGAACAACCAGAAATTCCTTCCAACCTGCATCCTTAGCCCCACAGAGTAAGAATAAACTCTAATAAATAAATACTAAATTTTATTTATAATATAGTATTTTTCTAGTAACACGCAACTTTCTTAACAAATGTCAGTTTCTTAAGATGACTTGTTTTTATAAGCTCTAGTGTCAATATAGTCCAATAATTTATTATTCATACAATTTATTTCACACATAATATAAAACTTTTCTCTAGAGAAATTTAAAATATACATTCAATGTAGCCAAGTTCTATTCTTAAAAACTTTTCCTTTCTCCTGAGCTTACTTCTCCAGAAGACCAGTCCTTAAGGACTTCTGGAGTCTAGCAATGTTGGCATCCAGTGCTGCAAGCCCATTTCGGAAGTCTTGCTCATCACGAGATGTGAACGTGGAAAAAGAAGAGATGCTCCAGTCAGAAGTTAAGTCAGAATTTAAAAAGCTACCATCAGAGACTGCACTGCTTTTCACTTGAACGTTGCTGTTCTGACAAGTGGAGGGGCCGTGACAGGCCACCAATTCCTCCTTAGTGGCAGGAGGGATCTTGCAAATGGCTTCCTTTATTTTCTTGAGGAGCTGCTTGTCCTCCGTACCAGCTGTTCTGGAAAGTTTCTCAGGTGCATCTTCTTCCTTTTTGCAAGAGGAACAAACTCCAGGTGCACACAGTTTATTTTCTTTTTCAGCAACAAGTCCACTGACAGGTTGCGGTGGAGCTACACTGATCTGGGCCTGGGGGGATAATCTCTTAGACAGTGGTGATTTCTTTTTAGGAGTGCTTCTGGCAAATGGAATGTAAATTGTTTTATCCAAATTATGCTCCTCTTCTACTAAGGTCGTAATTTCACTTTCCTCATCAGAATCCTGTTTTGAAAGGGCAGGAACAATTCCAGGGGCTGATACCTCCTCCATGCTCCTAGTATTACTAAGCTGAGGGCCTTTGGAGGGCAGAACACTTTCATAAGGTCTATCTGGCACCATGTTTTCCTCATTGTTAATTGTAGAAAGAGGCTCTGAATGTGTAATAGGAGTGTGATCTGGTTCTAACTTACTTAGGTAGCTCATTATGGAAGTGTGAGCGGGGATCGGGTCATATTGATGTTGCTTTTCATAAATGTTCAGAAGTGATTTGGTAAGATTATTCCCAGGCTTGCAGCGAGCAGTGTCCACACTAAGATCTGAGAGAAGCTTTGCCATACTGCTCTGTAAAGTTCTGTTAAGAAGAATTTAGTACACTAATTATTTCTTTTTACCCATTTGTTTCATTTACTTACATATTCCTCTCATCTTTAAAACAAATTATCTGAGGCAAGCACCTGGTTCTTAATATGGAAAAAAGCAACTAAAAGCACAAAATCACAGAATATGCTCTGGAAAGAGTAAATTAAAGTAACAATTGATAAAAGATCTTAGTCTGCATCAAATCTAATACTATTATATCTAAAAATGGAGGCTCAGAAAAACTTTTCTCTTAAGGTAGAGATGCTTTATTCTTGAGCAACACTGCAAAATGGTAAATATACTACCCATTTGTTAGTGGATTGTGTTAGTAACTATTACTCTACATTCAAAACATATATGGAAGGGATATTGGAACAATACTGGCAAAAAAAAGGATAGTTAGACATAATTAAATTATCTAGTATAATTAGGTTTAACCGACAGCTAGACTCCAGGGAAAGTGTGATATAAGGAAAACCACACAGGGTTTGAAGTCAGACAGAAATTGATTCATATCCTAGCACTATTGCTAGCTGTGATCTTGAGCAAGTGGTTCAACCTTTCTGAATGTCAAGTTCCTCAACAGCAAAATGAAGATAACTACTTCACATTTAGAATGAACATTAAATAAGATAAAATAATAAAACATAAGGGTAAAGTGTTTAGCACAGTTTCCATCTGGTGACAGCTTTTATTAGTAGTCCTCTTAAAACCATTTTATACCAAGACCTTAGCCTATTTGAATGGAATCATATATATTCTTAAATATAGATAAGAAAAAGAAACACACCAACTTAAAGATACAAAGAACATTAACAGGTAATTTTAAAAGATTACAATGAGTCAATAAGCATGTTTTAAAGTTTGACTTTTATCAGAGAAATTCAAATTTTTAAAATAAGAATTTTTTTGGCCTATCAAGCTAACATAGGAAAATAAGAATATCCATTGTTAAAAAGGCTTGGAGAGGCAAAGTGGGAGTGTACATTCTCCTAGCAAAATAGCATTATATCAGAAATCTTAAAGATCTTTATATCCCACACCTTTAGACCCACCAAGTTGCACTTCTAGGAATTTAATCTATTGATATTCACCAATAGGCTGCACCCAAAGATATATTTACAACGATGTAATTTATAACAGAAAATTGATGAACTTAATATCTTTATCTTCAAACACAGTGGACTGATTCAGGTAAATTACAGTCTAACTACATCATAGCCATTTTTTATAGTCATGTTGTAAAGAATATTTATTGATAGGACAATGTTCATTATACAAGGTTAAATTTAAAAGAGTAGGCCATAAGCAACACAGTAACAATACTATTTTTGTAAAAAGTTATACACGTCCACATAAAATACTAAAAGGAAATCTCTGTATGAAACAGTTAGCAGTGATTATATTATCATCTTTGGATATAGAATGAGTGATTCTCTTCCTACAAAAGGAAAAAAAAAAGTTCTTTCCCAACCTGGCATATACTGTCATCTTAAATATGCTATGTTTTGAGTTCTAATTGCCCTTCAAATGGCAACAGCTCCAGCCTCTTTTTTTCATACCTCTTTCAAGAAGCTAACGAGCTACTATTAAAAGATAAAAAGTATGCTATAGAAACCATCTTTAAAGAAGTGCTGTAATGAGTAATGTCCACTAGTTAATTCAACCAGACAGCTTACTGACATTTTTATTTTCACTTATTTTTAGAAAAGAAATCCTTATGTTGAAGTTCCTGAAAAGACTTAAATAAAAATATTATCTTTGCTCTGTAAAAAATTCACAATACAGAAAGGGACATATAATAAAAGTTTAATCTCTGGAAATTAAATGCAATCATTAAGTTTCTCATGTGTAAACAAATGTGACTTACCACTGTCTTTGAAATTAAAAGAAAAATCTCTGTAAATAAAGAGATAAAACTATGCCAAAATTTTAAAGGAAGCAATACAAGCACCTAAATAGCTACAAAGTAGATATATCTGTGTTTCTATTACATGAGACTCAGCTAAACACAATGGTTTTTAATGCTTGGAAAACTGATGCATTTTCATAATAAAAATGTAAAGTTCTTTCTCAGCTATTTATTAAGCTATACTAATTTAAATAAATATTAGCACTTGTATGAGTGCTCTTAGAAACTATCAGAATAATATTTACTACCTATTTACTGAAAAGTATATTAATTTTCCTCACACTTTAATGGTACTATAACATGCATTCTAGTAAAACCTAAAAAAATAAAGATGTATTTCAAAACTATTGAAAGCTGGAGAAGAAAGAAATGGTTTAGGAAATTTGTTTAGCACTTGTATGTGAAAGTTCTAGCTCCATTATCCCTCCCCAGTAGTCTGAGAAAGGCATTTAAAATTTTTGTCAAATCTCTAAGACATTTAACACATGCAAAACACACACACACACACACACATCTGACTGAGGTATATGGCTATAGGAAAAAGAGATGGGCTAGGTGAACATGAAGATTTATCTGTATTGTCAAGTGTTGCTGACTTATACTCTAATGTCAGAAATAAAATGTAAATCGTCACAGTAGCCCAGCTATAGTACTTGGGGTATTCCTAATTAATTGAATTGCCTAGAGTAACACCAAACACACTACAAGTCACCAATGTGGGTGAATTCTGACAACCAAGCTCAAAGAGTAGTTTTTGTCTGTTTTGCTCTTAAATTTAAACGGCAATCTGGTCTAAGTAAATCCTAGCATTTTTCTGGACATTTCTTAGAAATAAAATAATAAAATATGTGGTTTTTTTGTGATTAACTTCTTTTACCATAAATACTTAAAAATAACAAAGTTTTTACCCTAAATTACTCCTCAGAAGAGAGAAGATGCTTTTCTTTAGAGACCTTATAAAGACTTTCATAAGAAGGGGCATCCTCATAATTAACTTGGAAGAAAAGTGGTATAACCCAATATTCCAGAAACTCTGACTAAGTGAAGTGAAGTCGCTCAGTCGTGTGCAACTCTGCGATGCCATGGACTATAGCCTATCAGGCTCCTCCATCCATGGGATTTTCCAGGCAAGAATACTGGAGTGGGTTGCCATTTCCTTCTCCAGGAGATCTTCCCCACCCAGGGATTGAACCTGGGTCTCCTGCATTGTAGACAGACACTTTACCATCTGAGCCACCAGGGAAGTCTTAACACTACATGGATACAAGAAGTACATTTTGCTTTTCTCACTGTTCAATAAACGTTTGAGTGAAATTATTCTGTGAAAGATGAATGTGGGGGGGAAGCAATATTTCTATATTAACATAGCTTATATAAAGTCATTTCAAATGTGTTTACAAAACTAATAAATATTCTTTATATATATATGCATGTATGTATTTTATCTATCTATCTATATATATATATAGGCTTCCCTGGTAGCTCAGGAGTAAATGAATCCATCTGTAATGCAGGAGATGTGAGTTTGATCTCTGGGTCAGGAAGATCCCCTGGAGAAGGAAATGGCTACCCATTCCAGTATTCTTGCCTGGGAAATCCCAAGGATAGAGGAGCCTGGCAGGCTACAGTCCTGCCAGGACTGCAAGAGTCAGATACAACTTAGTGACTAAACCACCACCATGTATCTATATATCATTTATCCTCTAAAAGTTCATAACTCAAAGTGGGGGGGAAAGTGTATAATTCAAAACGGGTCTTTTCATTTGAAATACAAAGTGTTTTATATTAAGGATTGCTTTATATTTAGAACTATGACTTTCCAGGATCATTCAAAAGCATGTTTCAGATCTGATGATATATAATTCAGGCCTAAAATAACTGACTTCTCTAGGATTTAAAAAATCAGTTGAAAATCCAATTTTTGTCAACCACCTCAAGAGAAAACTGAACTTTATAAAAGAATATCATATAAAAATTGAGTGAGGTGGTTTTATTTATTTAAGACATGTTAAGGAACAAAGGAATCTTAGAAATTATTGTCAAATCCCTCATTTTACTAATGCAATGAATAACGCTCAAAGAGGCTAAATAATTTACCCAAGATCCTATGAATGAGGGCTTACTGTGCTAAGTGCTTTTCATGAATGATTTCTTAGCCCTCTTATCAGCCTTAATCATGCCCCCACTTTACAACTAAAGTTTAGAAAGGTTGACTATCTTTCTCAAAGTCATACAGCTAATAAATGATAGAGCTGGCATTCCACTCAGGTGTCTCTGGCTTCAGAGAGTTCTTAACCATTTGCTAAACAAGTCTTAGCTCTTCATCAGAGTCCTTTGCCTGGAATCACATGTTTTAAAAGGGAATTTAGCCACGTTTGAAATTTAACTGGAACAGAAGAAAATATCCTTAGAAATTAGCAAAAACACTGAGAAAAGGATAAGGTTAAGAAGGCAGGTCTGAAATTATTTTGAAGTTTATCTAACAAAAGCATAAGTTATTCAAATAATGTCAACATCACCTGGTTAATTCTCTCAGTCGAGTCACCTCGGCATCACGCTGGCGTAATGTTATTCCCAATATCTGATTTTCCTTTTCAGCAGCTTCTAACTTAAACCGGGAGCTTTTCACATTGACTAAGGCTTCCTCCAATTCTAAAAACAACAAAAAGTTTCAGTTTCAGTATTACTTTAAAAAAGTAACTGTGACTATAGTTCAAACACATACCAATTTTCATTCTTGTTGTCTCAATATCAAACTGCTGTTTATTTTCAAGTAAAGTTTGATCTTTCTCTTTAAATATACCAGCAAATTTTTTGTTTTCATCTTTCTGATTTTCTATCACTTTTAAGAGCTCTTCATTTTTACTCTGCAGTAATTCCTGGCTCTTTAATGACTCCTGTAATTGATTTTGCAGTGACTTGTTCAATGATTGAAGAGAAAACACTGTAAGACAAAACAGATCAAATAATTATTACCTCAATTAAAAAGTACAAACCTGGGGGCAAGGTGTCCTGTCAGGTGAGGAAGCTTCTGCTGGAAGATGCAACTCAAAATTTAAACTGAACTACTGCGTGCAGCTCTGCTTCATCACCCAGGAGCAGCTCTTCACCGCAGGGCCGCTCTGGCTCCCCAATCCAAAGTCTCTGTGGCTGGAGATGCACCCCGTGGGGGAGGAGGCAGATGTGACTGAGGAGGTCAAGCACTGAGCCTTTGGAATGGGAGCACAGACTCCAAGACCCTAGACTACCAGAGAACTAACCCTAAGGGGTATCAAATAGTGAGAACTCACACAAAGGAAACCACTTGAATACAATACCCAGCATCACCCAACCACCAGTAGCACCCTGTGCAGGACACCTCTAAACCACAAACAAACAAACAAAATACAAACCAAATCATCAGCAAGCAGGATTACCACCTCACTCACCCTTGCCCATGAGAGGAAAAACAAACAAACAAACAAAAACTCAGCACAAATCTCACCCTTTACGAAGCTTACACAAACCACTGGACAAACTTTAGTAGGGCAGAAACCAAAAGGAAGAAAGAATTCAACATTGAAGCCTGAGAAAAGGAGACCTCAAACACAATAAGTAAAAAAAAAAAAAAATGAAAAGGCAGAGAAATACTACATAAATGAAGGAACAAACTAGAAACAGAGAAGTCCAAATAAATGAAGAGGAAATAGGGAAACTACCTGAAAAAGAATTCAGAATAATGATAGTAAAGATGATCAAAAACCTTGAAAACAAAATGGAGAAAATGCAAGAATCAATTAACAAAAGACCTAGAAGAATTAAAGAATAAACATACAAAGACAAACAACACAATTACTGAAAATAAAAATACTCTAGTAGGAATCAACAGCAGAATATCTGAAGCAGAAGAACGAATCAGTGAGCTGGAAGATAAAATGGTGGAAATAACTTCTGAAGAGCAGAATAAAGCAAAAAGGGTGAAAAGAACTGAGGACAGTCTCAGAGCCCTCTGGGATGATATCAAATGCACCTCAACATTCAAATTATAGGGGTCCCAGAAGAAGTGAAAAAGAAAGCATATGAGAAAATTTTTGAAGAGATTATAGTTGAAAATTCCCCCAACATGGTAAAGGAAATAGTCAATCAAGTCCAAGAGGCACAAAGTGTCCCATACAGGATAAACCCAAGGAGAAACACACCAAGACACATACTAATCAAACTAACAAAGACTAAACACAAAGAAAGAATATTAAAAGCAGCAAGGGAGAAGCAAGAAGTAACATACAAGGGAAACCCCATATGCTTAAAGCTGATCTTGCAGCAGAAACTCTGCAGGCCAGAAGGGAATGGCAGGGTATAGTTAAATTACTGAAAGGGAGCAATCTACAACCAATTTACTGTACCCAGCAAGGATCTCATTCAAAATTGATGGAGAAATAAAAAAGCTTTTCAGACAAGCAAAAGTAAGGATTCAATACCACCAAACCAGCTTTACAACAAATGTTAAACTGACTTATATAGTCAAGAAATACAAGAGAAGAAAAAGATCTACAAAATCAACCCCAAACAATTAAGAAAATGGCAATAGGAACATATATATCAATAATTACTTTAAATGTAATGGATTAAATGCTCCAACCAAAAGACACAGACTGGCTGAATGGATACAAAAACAAGACCCATATATATGCTGTCTTCAAGAAACCCACTTCAGACCTAAAGACACATATAGGCTGAAAGTAAGAGGAGGGAAAAATATATTCCATGCAAACAGGAGTCAAAAGAAAGCTGGAGTAGCAATCCTCAGATCAGACAAAACAGACCTTAAAATAAAGATTACAAGAGATAATGATTACATGATACAAGATTACATAATGATCAAGGGATCAATCCAAGAGGAAGACATACCAATTGTAAATATCTATGCACCCAACATAGGAGCACCTCAATACATAAGACAAACATTAACAGACATAAAAGGAGAAATTAACAGTAACACAATTACAGTAGGGGACTTTAACACCCCACTCACGCCAATGGACAGATCATCAAAACAGAAAATTAATAAGGAAACACAAGTCTTAAATGATACATTAGATGAGATGGATCTCATTGATATCTTCAGGACATTCCATCTAAGTGCAGAAGAATACGCCTTCTTCTCAAGTGCACATGGAACATTCTCTAGGGTAGACCACATCTTGGGTCACAAATCAAACCTCAGTAAATTTAAGAAAATTGAAATCGTATCAAGCATCTTCTCTGACCACAAAGCTATGAGAGTAGATATCAATTACAAGACAAAAATACTGTAAGAAACACAAACACATGGAGATTAAACAACACGTTTCTTAATAACCAACAGGTTACTTAAGAAAGCAAAAGGGAAATCAAAAAATTTCTAGAAACAAATGACAATGAAAACAACAACTCAAAACTTATGGGATGTAGCAAAAGCAGTCCTAAGAGGAAAGATTATAGCAATACAATCCTACCTCAAGAAACAAGAAAAACATCAAATAGACAACCTAACTTTTACACCTAAAACAACTGGAAAAAGAACCAAAAACCCCCCAAAATTAGTAGAAGCAAAGAAATCATAAAGATCCAAGCAGAAATAAATGAAAAAGAAATGAAAGAAACAAAAGTAAAGATTAATAAAACTAAAAGCTGGTTCTTTGAGAAGATAAACAAAATTGACAAATCTTTAACCAGACTCATCAAGAAAAAAAGAGAGAAGAATCAAATCAACAAAATTAGAAATGAAAAAGGAGAGATTACATCAGACAATGCAGAAATACAAAGGATTATAAAAGACCATTATGAACAATTACATGGCAATAAAATGGGTAACCTGGAAGAAACAGACAGATTCTTAGAAAAGTTCAATCTTCCAAGACTTAATCAGGAAGATATAGAAATTATGAAAAACCTAAATACAAGCACTGAAATTGAAGCTGTGATCAAAAATCTCCCAAAAAACAAAAGCCCAGGGCCAGATGGCTTCACAGAAGAAATCCATCAAACATTCAGAGAAGAGCTAATGCCTGTCCCTCTAAAACTCTTTCAAAAACTTGCAGAGGAAGGAACACTTTCAAACTTATTCGACAAGACCACCATCACCGTGATGCTAAAACCAGACAAAGACAACACAAAAAAAGAAAACTACAGGCCAATATCACTGATGAACATAGATGCAAAAATCCTCAACAAAATCTTAGCAAACAAAATTAAGCAACACATCAAGAAGCTCATACCCCATCATCAAGTTGGGTTTATTCCAGGAATGCAAGGATTCTTCAATATATGCAAATCAATTAATGTGATACACCATATTAACAAACTGAAAGATAAGAACCACATGATAATCTCAATAGATGCAGAAAGAGCATCTATTTTTGCTTTTGACAAATTTGACAAAATTCAGCACCCATTTACAATGAAAACTCTTCAAAAAATGGCTACAGAAGGAACCTACCTCAACATAGGAAAGGCCATATATGATAAGCCTACAGCAAACATCATTCTCAATGGTGAAAAACTGAAAGCATTCCCCCTAAGATCAGGAACAAGACAAGGGTGTCCACTTTCACTACTATTACTCAACATAGTTGTGGAAGTCCTAGCTACAGCAATCAGAGAAGAAAAAGAAATAAAAGGAATTCAGATCAGAAAAGAAAAAGCTTTCACTGTTTGCAGATGACATGATACTGTACATAGAAAACCCCAAAGATATTATCAGAAAATAACTAGAGCTAATCGGTGAATTTAGCAAAGTTGCAGGATTCAAAATCAATACACAGAAATCACTTGCATTTCCATATACTAACAATGAAAATTCAGAAATAGAAATTAAGAAATCAATCCCATTCACCACTGCAACAAAAAGAATTAAATATCTAGGAATAAACTTACCTAAGGAGACAAAAGAACTCTACATAGAAAATTTTAAGACACTGATGAAAGAAATCAAAGATGATATAAACATATGGAGAGATTACCCATGTTCCTGGGTAGGAAGAATCAATGCTATGAAAATGACTACTACCAAATGCAATCTACAGATTCAATGTGATGCCTAAAAAATTACTGATGGCATTTTTCATGAAACTAGAACACAAAATTTCACAATTCATATGGAAACACAAAAGACCCCGAATAGCCAAAGCAGTCTTGAGAAAGAAGAATGGAGCTGGAACAATCAACCTTCCTGACTTCAAAATTAAACTATAAAGCTACAGTCATCAAGACAGTATGGTACTGGCACAAAAACAGAAATACAGGCCAATGGAACAAGATAGAAAGCCCAGAAATAAACCCATGCACCTATGGGTACCTTATTTTTGACAAAGTAGGCAAGAATATACAATGGGGCAAAGATAGCCTCTTCAATAAATGGTGCTGGGAAAACTGGACAGCTACACGTGAAAGAATGAAATTAGAACATTTCCTAACACCATACACAAAGACAAAGACAAACTCAAAATGGATTAAAGACCTAAATTAAGACCAGAAACTATAAAATTCTTAGAGGAAAACACAGGCAGAACATATGATGACATAAATCAAAGCAAGATCCTCTATGACCCACCTCCTAGAGTAATGGAAATAAAAACAGAAGTAAACAAGTGTGACCTGATTAAACTTAAAAGCTTTTGCACAGCAAAAGAAACTATAAGCAAGAGGAAAAGACAATCCTCAGAATGGGAGAAAATAATAGCAAAGGAAACAACTGACAAAGGATTAATTTCCAAAATATACAAGAAGCTCATACAACTCAATAGCAGAAAAATAAACAACCCAATCAAAAAGTGGGGAAAAGACCTAAACAGACATTTCTCCAAAGAAGACATACAGAGGGCAAACAAACACATGAAAAGATGTTCAATATCGCTCATTATTAGAGAAATGCAAATCAAAACTACAATGAGATATCACCACACACCAGTCAGAATGGCCATCATCAAAAAATCTACAAACAATAAATGCTGGAGAGGGTGTGGAGAAAAGGGAACGCTCTTGCACTGTTGGTGGAAATGTAAATTGATACAGCCACTGTGGAAGACAGTATGGAGATTCCTTAAAAAACTAGGAATGAAACCACATGACCCAGCAATCCCACTCCTAGGCATATACCCTGAGGAAACCAAAATTGAAAAAGACATATGTATCCCATTGTTCATTGCAGCACAATGGCTAGAACATGGAAGCAACCTAGATATCCATTGACAGATGCATGAATAAAGACGTTGTGGTACATATACACAAAGGAATATTACTCAGCCACAAAAAGGAACACATTTGAGTCAGTTCTGATGAGGTGGATGAACCTAGAACCTATTATAGAGTGAAGTGAGTCAGAAAGAGAAAGATAAACACAGTATTCGAACACATATATACAGAATCTAGAAGAATGGTACTGAAGGTCTTATTTACAGGGCAGCAATGGAAAAACATAGAGAATAGACTTATGGACATGGGAAGAGGGGAGGAGAGGATGAGATGTATGGAAAGAGTAACATGGAAACTTATATTACCATATGTAAAATATACAGCCAACAGAAATTTGCTGTATGGCTCAGGAAACTCAAGGGCTCTGTATCAACCTAGAGGTGTGGGATGGGAGGGGAGATGGGAGGGAGGTTCAGGAGGGAGCAGATATATGTGTACCTATGGCTGATTTGTGTTGAGGTTTGACAGAAAACAATAAAACTCTGTAAAGCAATTATCCTTCAATAAAAAAATAAATTAAAAAAAAAGTACAAACCTGGAAAAGGTCTGTTTTTAAAAGAAAAGGCTTGGATTTTTATTGACTTTGCTTAACAATTATATGCTTGATTAGTTCTATGTGAATATCAAATGTATTTTTTTAAGAAACTGATCAGCAGAAGTCATATCTTTCTTCTCCAACTAATATTTCAAGCTTTAATTTTTTTTTACCTTTTTTAACTTAAGAAAACAAAAGACTAATACATGTACAAAGTAAAAAAAATTCAACCACAAAATACCAATGACACCAAAAGATACTCAATGAAAAGTCTCCCTTTGTACCCCATCTCCACTCTCCCCTCAGAAGCAAGCACTATTCACTCTGATATTTTTCTGGAAAATACTTTTGTATATTATATATATTTAAACATAAATGAATCATACTATGCCCACAGCTTCTGACCTTCCCCCCCCCACATAAAACTGTTATGTATCAGCACACAGATCTATCATATTCCTTTTAATGGCTATAAAAGTATATGGTACCAGTCATTTAATAACTGCAGCCTTGAGTGAAGTAGAATCTCATCATACAGCAGTGAACAACAGAGAAATGGTTTCTGTTCTCATGGAACTGATAGTAAACAAGTAATTATGAATAGTAAATACATGCTCTCAGGGCAACAAGAAGGGAAATGGCAGAGAATAAAGAGATAAGCTACTTAAAATAGCAACCACTAGCCTCCTCTCTCCCACCCATCCCCACCTTTTATTCACAATGGAACCAGAGTGATCTTTTCCAAAATTACTCTGGTGAAGTTGAACATGTCTATGAAGTGTATGTTCTGTTGAATGTTTGTATTTTTCTATCCCTTTGTAAGACATATTTCCATATATATTAGGAACATCAAGCCTTTATAATATCATGTATTACAAAAATTTCCCCATTTTGTTGATTTTTTTAAATGTATTAAAAAATAAGAATAATAATAAAATGTATTTATAATTCTGCTGTACATGAAATGAAAAGGATTTCTGGGACATGCTTTATCAATCTTTCCTTTGTAGCTTGTGAGTTTTTGTTGGGCTTAGGAAAAGTTCCCAAGAATACAAAAAGAAATTCCTATCTTTTCCTCTAGTTACTATCCGTTTTTGGTGTTTTTTCTTTTCTATTACTTTAAGCTCTGTGAGGCATAAGGACAATCTGGCAACATTAGTCAAAACTGAAACAGTAACACTCTGACTCAGCAATTCTGTGGCTATAATCTACAAAAACAGTCACACGTGGGCACAAAGACATGTACAAGGATTTTCGTTGCAGGATTATTTGTACTAGGAAAACAGAGAAAGTATCTAGATATCTATCAGCAGAGGACTTTAAATACATTACGACAGAACTATATAAACAGAATATATACTTAAGTTTTAATAGGAAAAAACAATATTTATGTATTTTGATAGAGAAAAATATCCACTACATAATAAGTGAATAAATGCAAGCTGCAGGAGTATATACTGTGTAATCTCATTTTTACAAAAGAAAAACACATATATAGTTCTACTAGGACTCATCCGTTAATAGTAGGTACTCAGTAAGCATTTACGAAACAAATCAATTATAAATGAACAGGAGATATGTGAAAGGAAATAAAGACTTTTTTTTAAAAAAGTAGGATTAAAAAAATATGATTATCAGGAAGTGATAGCACAAATCTTTTATTTTTGTTTCTATATTATTTTAAATTTTAATGAGTATTATTCCTACTTTTTTAACAAAAAGTCCACTTAAGACAAAGTAAGAAAGAAAGTTCAATTCTTTATCAACATTTCCAGAGCCATAAAGAATTCACGATCAGTTCTTACAGTTCTTTTACCTACATTCAAGGTTGCATTCCAGAGAACCAGATTCCTTTTGAGTTTTTTCTTGTTCTCTAAGTTGCTGTTTCAAAATTCTCAATTGCCTACATGAAATAATGAATAAACATGAATGCAAGAATCCCAAGCTCATTTTAGAGTGTACATTTGACAGCCTATTAAAATAGAGAACATAAACAGTGGCACTTACTAGGAGCGCAGAAGTCCATCTTGTCCCCAAACATAAGACAAAAACCAAATAAACAAAACCACACTACTATTATTATAAGACCTGAGATAATTTTTAAAAGATTGCCCAGGATGGAATAAAACCCCCCTCAATAGAAAAAGGTTAACCTATTTTTCCTCTTCCCTTTTTTATTCTCTTATCTCTTCAGTGATTTCCTTGTTTTTCTATTTCTTTCATTTCTATCTCCTCTTGCTATTTTCTTCTGTCTTCCTTCTCAGGAAGTACTTTCATTACTGTAGTAATTATCTACTTTTAAAAGATCTGTCGTAATTATGAACCAGAATTCCTACAAGGACCAGCTGCTATCAGACAACTATCTGCTTGGTTTGCCACACAGTGTAAAAACTGGGAAACGCAAACTTACGCTGCTACTAATTTCTGTATTAGATCTAAAGGTTAATGGCTTTATTTAAGTAAAGAGAATGCCAATAAGCAGCAACTCTGCCTCACAATGAACTTCATAATATATAGCTGCTTCACAAATAGGAACATACAAAAGTAACTGCAAGTGTTTACTTCTAAGAAGTTAACACTAAAAAAAAAAATCTCTAATATCTTTTGAGAATTATTATCTGGAAATATTCTGCACTAAAGTATCACTGTTACGAAATCTAAAACAATAGATCCTACCTCACATCATTTGTATATATTCATTCAGGTTGGATTAAAGAACTAAACATAAAATATAACAACAAACAAACAAAACTTAACTATACAAGTTTTAGATGGCAATCTACATAATCTTAAGTGGGAAAGGCATTCCTAAGCAATAATCAAAATCCAGCAACCACCAAGGAAAAAAGTAAAGGATTTAACTACATCAAAACTGAAACTTGTTCTAGAATTAGCAGTCTGGAAGAAAGTATCTGCTACACATATAACAGACAAAGGGGCTGTAACATTGAAGAGGTCCTACGAATCAGTAAATAGGGAAAGAAAACATGACCAACAATAAGGATGGGCAATTCACAAAAGAAACAGAAGTGGCCGATAAGCGTAAGAAAAATTCTCAGCCACATTAGTACGAAGAAATGCAAATTTAAAACAGGAGATATTTTATGACCATAGGATTCACAGTAATAAAAGGAAATAACACTTTAAAATATATATATATTTATTTGGCTGCACCAGGTCTTAGTTGCAGGATGTGGTGGTGGTGGTGGTGGTGGTGGTGGTGGTGGTGGTGGTGTGCGTGTGCGTGTGCGTGTGCGTGTGTGTGTGTCTGACTGTTTTGCGACCCCATGGACAGTAGCCTGCCAAGCTTCTTGTCTATGGGATTTCCCAAGCAAGAATATTGGGGTGGGTTGCTATTTCATTCTCAAAGGAAATAACACTTTTTGTTGGTGACAGGATAAGGAAATGAAGGCTTCTCCTTCTGTATTCTCTGCTTAAGAAGCTGTTATTCCCCAGCAATGCACCCTTGGTTGTGTTCACACTCTATACCTTCTTAGTGAATTCAACACTCACACACTGATCGCAAACCACTTGCTTTTAATCATTATTGTCTCCAGTACCTACACAGGGCCAGATCTATAGTAAATGCTCAATAAAAATGTGGTCAGTGAATAACTCCAAGTTTATGTTTCTATCCTGAATCTTGTTTGTGGCTTCCAATCATACCATACATGTCTCCAGATTGTCTAAATCTTAACTCACTGGTTCTCCCACTACATTTTCTAACTAAAAAATAAAATGAGGGACTTCCCTGGTGGTCCAATGGTTAAGAATCTTCCCCACAATGCAGGGGACGTAAGATCTTGTATCCGTTGGATCAACTAAGCCTGCACACCACAATTAGTGAGTCTATACGCCACAATAGAAGATCCCGCATGTTGCAACTAATACCCGAGGCAGCCAAGTAAATAAATAATTAATTTAAAATTTTTACAAAATAAATAAATAAATATAATGAAATAACAAATAAACAATCTATTCTTCCTCTAGTAACTTCCATCTGGAAGAATTATGTTATCATATGTCAAATTATCAGGCCAAAGACTGAATGCCACACCCCAGTTCCTCCCTTTCAGTTCCATTTCATTTCTTTCTTCTTCGTGGGTACATAATGGTCTTGTATTTGAGTCTAAAATCAGGAAATGGTCATGAATTCTAACTTGCCCTTTAAATATTAAGACACTCACTAGTTTAACTGGAACCCCCCACAACCTTCATCCAGGAAATTTTGGAATGTGCCACAAGGTCACAATGAATGGGTCACTACAGATATTTTACAGGTAGGGACCAAGAAGGCTAACAGTTGAGTACTATGTCAGGAGTCTCACATAAAAACTGTCCAGACTCAAATTCCAAACAATGCAGCTAGCTATTTTTTTTAATGCCACAAGATGGCAATAAACACCAAGAAAGTCCCGAAAGATCAGTTTTCTGGCTACAAAGGAACAGGAAATTTCAAAATGTCCAAACAAGAAAAAAAAGACAACCTGTTTTTGATTGAAAATGCTGAAAAACACTTTTGAATGAGCCTATGCATTCCAACTCTCATTTATAACAGAGAGTATGGTTGATTCCTTCCAAATAAAGATTAACAAAGAGACACAAAAATTCCTACTTCTGCTGGAAATCTCATTCTGCTAAAAAAAAAAAAAAAAGAACAAAAAAGCATATCTGACAAATTCTTCATTTTTTGATAATTTCATTTTTAGAAGGTCAGGAAACGGTAGCAGTAGCATGATGTATAATCTTTGTCCTCTAAGGACAGAGCCAAGAAACATTGGTGCCAAGTCTGAAGAATTAGGTTAGACATCAAATACCTTTATAAAAAATTAAAAACAAGCAGTGATCAATAAAGTAAGTTTTATTTCCTTAAGTGGCTTATAAGCAATTTAAAAATCTTCTGCGACTTCCCCAGTGTCACAGTGTATGAGAATTTGCCTGCCAGTGCAGGGGACACAGGTTCAATCCCTGGTTTGGGAAGATTCCACATGCCACTGAGAAACTAAGCCCATGCAGAACTGCCGAGCCCGCAGGCTGCAGCTACTGAGGCCTGGGCCCCTATAGCCTGGGCCGTGCCGTGAGAGAGGCCGCAGCTACCGAGGCATGGGCGCCTAGAGCCTGGGCCGTGCCGTGAGAGAGGCCGCAGCTACCGAGGCATGGGGGCCTAGAGCCTGGGCCGTGCCGTGAGAGAGGCCGCAGCTACCGAGGCCTGGGGGCCTAGAGCCTGGGCCGTGCCGTGAGAGAGGCCGCAGCTACCGAGGCCTGGGCGCCTAGAGCCTGGGCCGTGCCGTGAGAGAGGCCGCAGCTACCGAGGCCTGGGCGCCTAGAGCCTGGGCCGTGCCGTGAGAGAGGCCGCAGCTACCGAGGCCTGGGCGCCTAGAGCCTGGGCCGTGCCGTGAGAGAGGCCGCAGCTACCGAGGCCTGGGCGCCTAGAGCCTGGGCCGTGCCGTGAGAGAGGCCGCAGCTACCGAGGCCTGGGCGCCTAGAGCCTGGGCCGTGCCGTGAGAGAGGCCGCAGCTACCGAGGCCTGGGCGCCTAGAGCCTGGGCCGTGCCGTGAGAGAGGCCGCAGCTACCGAGGCCTGGGCCCCTAGAGCCTGGGCCGTGCCGTGAGAGAGGCCCCAGCTACCGAGGCCTGAGCGCCTAGAGCCTAGGCTCTGCCGTAAGAGAAGCCACCGCAATGAGAAGTCCACACACCACAACAAAGAGTAGCCCCTGCTTGCTGCAACTAGAGAAAGTCCACGCAAAGCAATGAACACCCAGCGCAGCCAAAAATAAAAGTCAATCAATCAATCAAAGAAAAATGTTCTAAGAAACAGAAATAACTAACAACTATTGATATTTCCTATGGATAAATAATACACAGAGACTAAGTTCTGGGCTTCCCAGGTGGCTCAGCAATACAGAATGCCCCTGCAATGAAGGAGACCCAGATTCGATCCCTGGGGTCAGGAATTGCACTGGAGAAGGAAATGGCAACCCACTCCATATCCTCGCCTGGGAAATCCCGACAGAGGAGCCTGGCGGGCTGCAGTCCATGGGGCTGCAGAGCCGACCGTGACTGAAGCAACTGAGCACCAGCACTGCACCGCCTGAAAACGAAAGTGAAAGTCGCTCAGTCTGTGGACTCCACGACCTCACGGACGATACAGTCCACAGACGGCATAGCCTGGACTAGCCCAACACCCGGAGGTAGTTCACTTTCCTCTCTGTTGGTCACCAACCAAGTGACAACAGATGTGAAAAAGCTGTGAAAAAATACATACTAGTGTGGGCGGAAATAATGAAAGAGTTAGAGACTGCTGTATTTGGAAAATGGGGGATTAAGAGTATAAACACAGTGAGACTATGTCTAGTTTCCTTACAAAGCCCTAGATATCTCATTAGGCATTTTTGTTCTGGCCATGGGACATCTTTGCATGGAGACAAAAAAATTCAAAGAGCAATTCTTACCTGCGTAAATGAGCGTTTTCACTTCTTAGTGGCTGCATGGCCAGTGCTATTTCAATCTGAATATTTGTGTTTGCACTTACGGCTGGAAGCAGAGATATACACATCTCCAGTTCTGTAATCAACCTCTGAATTTCTGAATCTTCTATAAAAAACAGAAGAAATGAGTAAACACAGTATTATAAATTGCTGTTTTGATAAGATTATTCATATGTATTACTAAAAAAGAAAACATTTCACATATATACATATGTACTATAAACAAACAACTCAGTTATTTATGAATTTATTATACAAATCCTATTTTCCTTTTTCCTGTAGTCTGCATTTCCTTATTGAGAAGAATTCTAAAGGCATTAAGCTCAGTAAACTAAAGATTTATGCTAAGTCACAGAATTATTATATCAGTGATTTTCTGCAGTTAAAGTGTCTAGTAGGAAGATGCTTTATATATATCTCCTAGTCCACATGTTCTATAATTACTAAAGGGTTTCTTATAATTGATTATAGTATTAACACAACCTTTGATCCTGACATAAGCAAATAATTCACTTCTGATGATTCAATTCAGAAATATATTGAGGGAGGGTCTACTAAGATAAGGTTTTATTATTTAATTTTATAAAGTAAATTTAACACAACCAGCTACACTTCATTTGATGCAGCATCAAAAGCAGTATCGTTTTTGTCCTTAACTGTGAAGAGTGGATGATTTGGGAGGTGGCAAAAAGATACAGGTAGAAGGTAGATTTTAGATCTCTAGTCCTTTTATTTTTGTTCATTTTTATTCAGATTTTCAGTGAACTGCTAGAAAAATGGTACAGATGAATTTATTTGCAAAGCAGAAATAGTCTCAAATGTAACAAAAAAGTTTATGGCCAGCAAGGAGGGAGAAGGTGGGATGAACTGGGAGATTAGGGTTGACATACATACAGTACTATGTAAAAAAGAGATCACTAGTGAGAACCTATGGTGTAGCACAGGGTATTCTACTCGATCTATGGTGACCTAAGCAGGAAGAAAATTTTAAAAAGAGTGGATATATGTATATATACAACAATACTTTGCTGTACAGGAGAAACTAATACAACATTGTAAAGCAACTATACTTCAATTAAACAAAATTTCTGTGAAATGAAAACATTTAATAAATATGATATTACCTGTCTGATATCCAAAAGAGATAAAATATTCAGATACAAAAAGTTAATCAATTCCACAAGAACTTTTAACACCTTAATGGAAAGCTTATATGCATACAGTAAACAATTGTGCCCAATTAAAGAGCAGAATGCTCTGTAGAGGGGTTTTGCATGAAAGCATTGGAGGCAGAGACGTGGGCTCCACCATTTTCCTGCAATGTACCTTAGTCAAATTACTTAATTCTTGAGGCCTAGGTTTCTTCATGGTTAAATGGAAAACAACAGTACCTCATGGGGTTGCTGAAAGGATTAAATGAAATACTGTTCTCCAAGCCTCAGTTTCCTCATCTGTAAAATGGGGACAATAATAGTACCTATAGGGTTGCTGTGAGGATTAAATGAGATAATGCATATAAAACACTTAGCACAGTGCTGGGCACATCGTAAGTGCTCAGTAAGTGATAGCTAATATTACTACTATTATAATTGTTATCAATGATTAAGTATTCAGTTAAGAGAATAAGAATGAATTAACAGTCTGAAAATACAGGAGATTTTAATATACTGAACCACAGGATTAATAGTGCTATAATCCTAATAATACAGATAAATTTTAAGATTTGGTAATTTTTTGTCAGACTGCAAATATTAGGTACTCAATTAGAACTTCCATAATCAATTACTGTGTTTTCTAGATGACAAATGTGTAACTAACTCCAAGTGAAAGTCATTATTCAGAATATACATAATGAAAACAAATGAATACAACCTGGCTCAAATATCTCATAACTCCACCCAAGAAATTTTTCTTGATTAATTAAAATAACTCAAGAGTGAATTGAAAAGGGCATCAGAAGATTTAGGTTCCTTCTCAAAGTCAGATTTGTTAAACATTGTAACAGTTATTAAATAAATGATGAGAGGAAAACTTCTACATCTTTTTAAAGTAGAAAAAATTATCACTCTGCTCTACGGAGTTAATCATGTCCTCCAACCCCTTAAAATTTATCTCTATAAATTTTCTTTGGTTGAATATTCTCAAGGTCCCTTTGAATCAAGTAAAATGAACACACACGTACAAGTAAAAGAATGATATTCCCTAGCACGTTTCAAATCCACAGGAAACAATGGGGAGCAAAACCCCACAAAATAAGAATAAAACAGACAAAACTCATTTCCTCATTAGCATAAAACATACTTTTATGGAAAATATCACAAACTTCATGTTGATTATTCTGAATTTAAATGATGACATGCCACAGAAAATTATAAAGTACTTATCTACCTTGTTCTGCTACCAGGGCCTTGAGCTCTCCCAACAAATACTTGATAGTTCTAACTTTTTCAGCACTCTGGTTCACGTTTTTTGCCTTCTGCACATCCTTTATTCTTGAATCTTGCAGAGGTATGTTTAAATCCTTTCCTTCACTTCTGACCTCACCATTGTGTTTGTTAGTACATTTTTCTTCATTAGTAGCCAAGAAAGCTGACTGTAATCGGGTGGGGCTGCAGCGAGTGGGACTGTCAGGATGAGAACTCAACAGTTTCATGTATGTTTGGAAACACTTCAGTAAGTCTGGTTCCTCAGAAAGTCTTTTCGGCGGAACCCCATTAGCAAGACCCAGTTGCTGACATGTTGGAGTAGCTGGTTTGCCAGTTTGGGACAGGTTACATGAAACTCCAAGACAGGTATTAAAGGAATTCCTCACAACATCATCAGTACAGTTCACAGATATTGTTCTTCCTTGTGATGCAAACTGACTGTCACCATCAGTCTGAACTTCCTAAAGAAAGAAAAAAACAAGCTAAGACTTCAAAAATAATGAGCACTGACTTGTGGGCATTAACTACAATAAACTCAAATGAAAAATGTTAGAAGATGACATTTGCAGGATGAAGTTACAGATTACCAGTGAATAAGCCAATTTCCCCTTAGCTCATTATTATGGATTTTTAAAGCTTAATTAGTTCACTCTGTAATATGGGAACATTATAAAGCCATGACTAAAATAGATTGCTTGCAAATATCATAAATGGTTTAAAGGCATCAAAAATTAGTCTACTTTGGGACTAAAATAAACTTCCACTTTGGGAAATCACAGTGTAGAAAATAAGCTGAAAAGGCTTCTGCACAAACATATTTAGAGAAATGTTAACAGTAGTAAAAAATTTATTTAAATATCTAACCACAGGTGAGGAGTTACACAGACCATGGTATATCCACTAAATAGAGTAGTAAGAACTTAGTAAAACTTTACAAAAGGTAAATCACAATTAAATGTTAAGTGAAAAAAAGCAGCATGTAAAACAATATAAAATTTAACTATGATGATATTTTTAAAAGAAAGTTTACTTAACAAATTAAAACCAGAAAACGAAACCTACACAAAGAATTAAATGACTGGAACATGCTCTATCAATGTGTTAATAGCAACTGTGCTGGTGGTAGGTATGGTTGATTTTTTTTTCCCGAGTAATCTTTTTCCTTCCCCCTGCCCACCACTGTCCTTAATTAATAGGCAAACTTTTCTAATAAAAATAACTAAAAAAATAATTGGTCTTTACATCCTAGGGTATTAAGATACAATTAGCAAATTAAATTTTCTCTCAAGATGACAATTTCTAAAAGCAAATTATTACTTAATATAAACTGCACTCACAGAATGAACCACTGGAGGGCAGGGTGGCTGCCGAGGTAACCGGACTGGGATAGAGGTGGGTAAACCATAACTAGAAGGTGAAGATGTCTGAGATTCTAAAAGGTAAAAGGGAGAAAAAGTCATTCACATCTCACACTGCTTTATACAATTACCAAGCAGCTTAATTAGAGCTTATATTCATGCTTTTTAAAACATCATTCATACTAACCAGAACAAGACACAGTGTGGCAAGGTGCAGAAGGAATTCCATTAGGATTGTTCTTTGAAGCCAAGTTATTCATCAGTGACATTTGAGTCTGCACATGTTCACAAAGAGCTTGGTATATTAAGGGTGAATACATTCCACAATGATCTTGTAGTGACCAATTTTGCAGTATATCTGATGAGTCTCTTTCACTTCCAACAGAAGCATCATTAGGTATCTGTTTCTTATTATCTGAAGATACTAATATGTAAAAAGGGAAAAAAAATTCTTGAAATATGGTTCTTCAAAACCTTTACCAAAGGTATTAGAGGAAAAAAGAGCTCTCAGAAGTAACTCGATTCATCATATACTTTACAGAGTGTGATCACCCCTAAAGAAAATCACCTCAAATTCTTTTTTAAAAGGAGGTAATGAATCAGGTTCTCCTCAAAATTAACTTACACTATGTCTTTAAAATCTCTATTAAATGCTACTCATAAAGCACCTGAATTGGGAAAGGAGTCATTGGAAGGACTAATGCTGAAGCTGAAACTCCAATACTTTGGCCACCTGATAAGAACTGACTCACTGGAAGAACTGACTCATTGGAAAAGACCCTGATGCTGGGAAAGTTGAAGGCAGGAGGAAAACGGGACGACAAAGGATGAGATGGTTGGATGGCATCACTAACTCGATGCACATGAGTTTGAGGAAAGCTCTGTGAGTTGGTGATGGACAGGGAAGCCTGGTGTGCTACAGTCCATGGGTTGGCAAAGAGTCAGAAACGACTGAGTGACTGAACTGAACTGAATGCTCATGAGTGGGAGAATGGAACAGAAAAACAGAATACCTTGTACAATTATGATGGTTTGATAATGATAATAATAACAACAATAATAAATAAATCAAAGCTTTTAGAGTGAGAAAGTGAATTTAATCTACACATTGAGCTCTCAAATAAGACCTTAACCTGACATTTAAAGTCTCAAAAGCCTAACCACAACATAATTTTCCAACCATTTTCCATCATCCTCAACTACGAAATCTTTCAATTCAGTCAGACCAATTTAGACACTTACAAGCTTTTCTCACTTTCCTATAATATTACTCATGATGAACCATTCCTTTCAATTCTATTCTACCTAACTCACCAAAGCTCATCTGAAGCCTTCTTTTTCCTATGATGCCTTTTCCAGTCATTTCAGTCTAGTGACTGCTCTTCACCATGCCAGAGTACCTATTGTCTATACAAATCATATATCACTTGGATACCGTACTATATTATCTTTCACTCTCGTCAGCCTGACTAAACTATGAGCTTCTTTAGGCAGGGCTATATCTCATACCTCATTATTTTCTCCTAGAGTTTTGTATTAACCTATGTACAGAGTAATTAATACATGAAAAATAACAGTTTTCTACCTAGGACTACTCTAGAGATCACTATCAAAATCTATTTCTTTGTCTAATAAGATTCCCTTCCCAAATTTTTTTAAAGAACATTAACAGAAATGAGAGTATTCTTGTTAGATCATAGGTTATCAGAGTAAAAAACAAACTTAGAAAAATATATACTTTTTGGCAAAAGCTTACCAAAGCTAAACATATATTTTATGATATAGCAATTGTATTTCAGGGAATATACCTAACAGAAATGAATATTATGTCTACTAAAAAATGTGTACAAGAATGTTCACAACAGCTTTATTAGCAGTAGCCCTAAACTGAAAACCCAAACAGTCATGAATAGTAGAAATGGATGAATTGTAGCGTAGCCATATGATGGAATACTATATAGCAATGGAAAAGAACAAAGTACTGATATACTCTAACTACCTATATGAAGTTAACAGATATGATGCTGTGTGAGAGTCAGACACAAGACTACATAGTGTACAGCTGCATTTTCACAGTGTACATGAAGTTCAAAGATAATAAAATTATCCAATCAAGAAAGAAGTCAGAAAAGTGGTTATTCAAGAATGAGGAGACAGGTTAATAATTAGAATACTGATGGATAGGAGACTGGTAGGGTACTGAAATTGTTCTTTATTTTCAACTGGGTGGTCAACTACATGGATGTACACATATGCAAATATTTATTGAGATTTATACACTTGTTTTATTAAAGTTAATCCTTACTTAAAAAGTGAAAAGTTAAAATTTCTTAAATGGTATGAAATTCCCTAAATACATACACAATTTATTGAAAATAAAAACACTGCTAGAAGCATAAAACTTACAAGTAAAACCAAAATGTTAAAGGCAAATGAAATATTATAACCAATAAAAATAGAAAACTACTACTAAATTATTATTTGACTATAAAAATGGCTGGAGACACTGGATGCATCTATTTTGACTTGGGTATTCTCTCCTTTGTGATAACCTATTGCTGTGAACATACTTCCCTGGCCTGCATATGAGCTCTAACAATTACTAGCTGAATAACTTTTGGCAAATTATTTAACCTCTCTTGGACTCTTCTTCCTCATTAGAAAAATGATGATAATAAGAGCATTACCTACTTTATAACACTGTTGTGAAAATTAAATAGCACATGTAAAGTATCAGTGTCTAGCACATAGTAAGAACTCAATAAATGTTACAGCCATTACCAAATGGCTCCAAAGTCTTAATACGGACAAATAAATATTTTATATTCATAATCTTCCCAACTAATATCAATAATAAATCCCTAACCATTTCCCCTCTAAGGTGACATGCAATAAATTATACTTCACTCTCTGAATATATGAACTAAATCAAACTGGTTAATAAACACTTCTGTAAAAAAAAAGAGTGGAAATGTTGAGTCATTAAGTCGTGTCCAACTATTTGCAACCTCCTGGATTGCAGGACACAGCGCTCCTCTGTTCTCCACTATCTCCCAGAGTTTGCTCAAATTCATATCCATTGAGTCGTCTAGCCATCTCATCCTCTGCTGACTACTCCTTTTCCCTTCAATCTTTTCCAGCATCAGCTGACTCTTCCAATGAGTCAGCTCTTCACATTAGGAGGCCAAATAATTGGAGCTTCAGCATCAGTCCTTTCAATGAATGTTAAGGGTTGATTTCCTTTAGGATTGACTGGTTCGATCTCCTTGCAGTCCAAAGGACTCTCAAGAGTCTTCTCCAGCACCACAATACAAAAGCATCAATTCTTCAGCACTCAGCCTTCTTTATGGTCCAACTGTCACATCTGTACATGACTACTGGAAAGGCCTAGCTTTGACTATACAGATCTTTGTCAGCAAAGTGATGTCTCTACTTTTTAATATGCTAAGTTTGTCATAGCTTTCCTTCCAAGAAGCAAGTGTGTTTTAATTTCATGGCTGCAGTCATTGTCCACAGTGATTCTGGAGCTCAAGAAAATAAAATCTGTTACTACTTCCACATTTCCCCCTTCTACTTGCCATGAAATGATGGGAACAGATACCATGACCTTAGTTTTTTATTTTTTAACATTGAGTTTCAAGCCAGCTTTTCCACTCTCCTCTTTCACTCTCATGAAGAGGCACTTTAGCCCCTCTTTACTTTCTGCCATTAGAAAGTGAGATCTTTTCAGTTGTGGCATGTGGGATCTAGTTACCTGACAAGGGATAGAACCTGGGTCCCCCTGCACTGGGAGTGTACAGTATTAGCCACTGGACCACCAAGAAAATCCTTAGTGGAAACACAATTTATAATAAATAAAAAGGAAAAGTTTTAACTGAAATAGTTTTAACTTTGAAATCTAAATATGATGAAAACTGAGATCACATGCAGCCCATGGCCATCTAGCACATTGTTCTTCTTTTCCTCCTAATTCCTAGGTCTCTCTTCTGCTCTTGGGTTTCCTTTTTCCATACATTTGTCCGGTTTGAGGAGTTCTCAGACTTTATACTCATAGGTTCCCAGCATTGGCACTCATTCACTTTCTTTTCAAGAGGTGGCTTTCACAATTTCTGATTAAGTTAAGCTACAATATTTTGCCTTTGCCAGCAGATGCCATCACCCAACACAATAAACTTCAAGTACTTCTTAAAATTCAAAGCTTTAGAATTAACATGTCTTACTTAACTTCTCCATTAACTCAATCTATGTGAAACTCTACTGATAATGTTGTACATCTGTATTTAAGACACAAAAATCTTAAAGCAAATTATCCAAGGCAAGTTAAAAACCATAAGTGGATGTATAATTTTTAGATAATTCCTGCCACCCAAATATGGAATAAACACCTACTGCAGATAGGCATTGCTGGATGCCTATTATAATTTGAAATACAGAGAACACTTGGCCTTGATGGGGGCAATCAATGCTCAAAATATTCTGCCTGTAGTTGTTTATTTCTCCAAGATGAGGGCAGAAATATATATATGATACTGAAGGTAGGAGCATGTGCCCACAGCATTCAATACAGTTATCAAAGTGTAAGTAGCTGCTTATTAAAAAAATTTTTTTTCTTTTAAATGTCAGGTGCACTCTTGGGTAAGCTCTCAATGCAATTTTGGAACTGCCTTTCTGCCTCCTTCCTCTGAGTAAGCAACAGGGTGGGTGGGCATGACTCCAGAGACACCCAATGATTTGGCAGGTCCCAGACAGAAAATACGTAAGGAGCCCAAGCCTCAGAAGACAGTAACACAAAATAGTAATATAATGTATGTTAAAGTTAAAATGATACGTAGATACTAGTTAACATGCTATAATAAATTCCTAAAGTTCTAATTATGATTATCTCACTTGTGGAGAGATGAAAAAGGAAAGAAATGCAGTTTTTTAAAATGTTAAATTGGTGAGTTGTCAGAAATTGTGCTTTTTAGACAAAGGGCATTTTTATTTTTTTTATTAAAAAAAAATCTTTTTAGCAACATCCAGTGGCATGTGGGATCTTAGTTCTCTGACCAGGCATCGAACTGTGCCCTCTGCATTGGGAGTGTAGAGTCTTAACCAGTGGACCACCAGGGAAGTCCCAGCTTTTGTGTATTTTAGGCACTGTGATTGACAGAACAAAAACCTTATATTGGCTAACAGCTGTTAACTGCAAAAAAAGAAGAAAAAAAAAAGATCCTTTCTAGACAGTGCTACAGTGATAAATCAAAGAAAGATGAAGTAATTTAACCAAAGGGAAACAGGTTTCTGCTTCTGAAGAATAAACCTTAGTCAATGAGAACCATTTCTTATACTGCAACCCTAAAGGAGATTGTCCTGTGGGAAGTAGGTCCTTATTTCTGATGATGATAGTGTAGGGGAAAGGACAATAAGAATATTATATACTGATAACAGGCCACAACTGATGATCTGACTCTAATCCAAATAAGAATTTAATGCTAGGGACTAAGAATGCCAGATCTCTCTCATTTGCTTCACCAAACCCACCTTCTACCCATCTCCACTCTGCTCTGCTCTCTCTGGGATGCTACTTTGTATGGATTACATTATTAAGAGACATTCCTTTATGGGTCTCTTCTGCTCCTACATGTCTTGCTGGGTTTACCAAAAAAAAAAGTAAGGCTTTGACCTAAGCTCTGTACCTGGGACATTTCTCAGGGCTGTGAGAGGCGTTAATAGTGAGCAACGTTGAGGGATAAGGTGATGGTTTTCCCTCAGTCAAGTATAGGCTTTCTAACTGCATACTACCAAGCAATGAATTCCCCAAGCTCAATGTTCTTCAGCTGAAACTTAAACCTGCAGCATGTGCAGTTTCCCCCTGGGTCCATCATATCATCCCACTGGCAGTTGGCAGAGAGGCAGAACCAACACAAATATGCTAATGTGCATGCTGCTAGCTGTGCTATAAGCATAGCACCTTTGTCTCTGATCCAAGAGTCTTGTGTCTCCTGTCAACATGCATGACATAGTAAGGATAATTCATTAGCTTGTAAGAATGAAAATCAGATCCCTGACTAGATATACATCAACAGTGCTCCAGTTGGGTCCAATCCAATGGGAATTTTGGCATTATTAAAGAGAGGAAAAAGCATTCATTCAAGGTATTTCAAACACCCTCTCTCTGAGGCCACCTTGGGCTGACTTTGTCCCTTAAAGCTCACTGCTCCTCTCAAGGTGGCCTACTCTACAGAACAATACTTCTAGCTGAATCCCAGTAACCTCTTCCTCACCTCATCCCTTAAGACCTAGGGATATTAACAGTTCTGTTCATGCTGTTAGCACTTGGCTAGCAGAATCTCTTGTGGTTTCCTTATACCCTAATGAGTTTGTAATGAGTTTCTTCATAAATAAAACCCCTATCTTAATTTGGGTGTTGCCATCTATTCTTTCTTGCTAGTCAATTCTAAAGGAAATCAATCCTGAATATTCATTGGAGGGGCTGATGCTGAAGCTCCAATACTTTGGCCACCTAATGCAAAGAGCCGATTTACTGGAAAAGACACTGATGCTGGGAAAGATTGAGGGGAGGAGAAGAGGGTGACAGAGGATGAGATGGTTGGATGGCATCACTGACTCAATGGACATGAGTTTGAGTACACTCTAGGAGATAGTGAAGGAAGGACAAGGAAGTCTGGAAGTCCATGATGTCGCAGAGTCAGACATGACTTATTGACTGAACAACAACAGATCTAAACTCTGTGGGAACTCTGAACAAATAGTTAAGTTAGGACCCAACAAGTTGCTACCATGGCACCATCGCTGACCATGTACTACCACTCCTTTGTCCATTGGTCCTCCAAAATAGGTCTCTGCTTTAAGAGTTAGACCAGGGGTGAGCACACTTTTTCTTAAAAGGCTGGAGAATAAACATATTATGCTTTAAACAGGCCAGATGGTCTCTTTCACAACTACTCAACTCTGCTCCTATAACACAAAAGTAACCATAGAAAATACATAAACAAAAATGAATTAGCATGACTGTGCTCTGAAAAAGCTTCATTTACAAAATAACATTACAATAAAACAAAACTGGCTGTAGTATGCTCATCCTGGATTAGACCAATACTGTCCCACCGAAATATAATGTAAATCACATAAGCAATATTAAATTTTCCAAGAACTACATTAAAAAAATTAAAATAGATAACATTAATTACAATAATGTTTTATTCAAATCAATATAGCCAAAATATTAACATTATAATGTGATTAACATTAATCACTGAGATATTTTATTTTTTTGCATTAAATATTCTAAGCATACTGTGTATTTTTACTATAAAGCACATCTCAATCTGGATGGTAAATTTTCATCACAAATCCTTGATCTGTATTTAGATTTAATAAAATTTACAGTTGAAAAAAGTAGATTCATTTACCCAGTTATTTGAAACATAATTTAAAAGTTTTCTAATAACTAGGTCAAGTACCAGCTTTCAAATTTAAATTAATTAAAATTAAATAACATTTACAATTGATTCCTTAGTTGTACTAGCCACACTTGGAATGCTCTGCAGTCACATGTGGCTTGAGACTGCCATCTTAAGTGGCGCAGGTCAAGACAATACAAGGCTAAACACAACTGGCCTCCAAGATAGGTTAGGAAGTTGTTTTCTCGGCCTTGGTTCTGACTCAAGACGATCTGAATTTCAGCCTCTTTGCCTGAATCCTGATCTCTAATACCCAGAACTAGTGCTGTATATGACTCAAACCCCTTACCTAAGCTAAATCTTACTGTACTCTGCTGTACTAACATTTTTGGCCCACCTGAACTGTGAACTAGCTGGTTCCATTCTTGATGCTCTGAAATCCCAATGTGGACTTTTTCATCTCTATTTTGGGTTACCATGTTCTATAGGCCTCTCTGGAACAACATAATCAAAACTTGCTTATTCTAAACTGCTTACTGAATTATTTCACTTAAGTCAGCAAGTTAATTGTGACAGTGTAAAAGATCCTTGGCTACAGTCACTGTCAAACAGTGGCAGATTTTTTTTGCTTACATAACTACCCAACTTGGAATTTTACCTTCCTATTACCATATCTTCTAAGTGTGCAGCTGAAAAAAGTGAGCTATGGATCCTACTTAGAATATATGTATACACATACAGTATTTATAAAACAGTAAATATACACAAGAAACCCAACCAATCTGTGAATATCATTCTGAGTTTGAACCTATTCTCCTACAAAACCTAACCATTTTTTTTTTTCTACTTTTCTTCTTGGCAAAGTACTCAGCAATTAGAAAACTGAATACAGAAAAAACCAGAAAAAATACAGAAAAAATACAGAAAAAGCACACACACACCCCTGTATAACCAATATTATTAAAATGTAAGCCCAACTGTATAACCCCAGTAATCTATCAAAACTCCCATAATTACGTATCATATTTAAATAAATAAGAGAAAAAAATACTTACAAATTTCCTTCCGGACTATAGAAGGCACAGTATGTTTTTCATGTCCTTTCTTTTTGGATCTGTATCTTTTGCTTTGTACAGGTCTGGGGTTACATCTATTTTCTGAATATGTTATTTCTGAACCTATTAATGATTAAAACAAAAAGTCATTAGCATTACGAGAACTACTTAATTAAGAAAAGGTGATCAGCAAAGAAGCATTTAAAAAAACCTGAATCTTCATTTCTCAAAATGTCCCGCAGCAAAGACGCACAGCCATCAAGCCCCTGTACAGTTTCAGTCTGTAAGGAGAAAGTCACATAGAAATTTGTGCATAAAATTTTAATGCAGGAAAAGAATTCTGTAATTTTAAAATTTCCTTATTTAGAAGCAATTTATTATTGGTAGAAGACATGTTTTAAAGCAAAAAGTCTTCATTCTTTGTCAGGACAATTAATACTTCATCTTTGAATTTTTATTTCCACTTCTTAGCTTTTACCTGAAAACTAATTAAACAGTATACACTGTATCTATTCAGTTTACTCTTACCTGACTTTCTGAATCAGAGTGAGTGGGATAGCCAGAATCTGCATTAAAACGGGGTATCTTTCTCAAATTGGTCCTAGAAAACAAGTTTGTTAATACATTTATATATAATACAAATATAATTACAAATAATATAGTATTTTCCCAAAATACATTCTAAAAAGACTTTCTTTCCAGCAAAGGTTGGATAAGAAAGCTTGTCCAACCATGTAAAAGAAGGATTTATGCAGGACTTTATGAAGGTTGTAAAGACTAAAATGATCAACATGGGTAGAGATATGAAAGATTTCTCCCCAGTTTTGTGAAAGTGGAGACCCTCACTTAGTTCTCTGGGGTAGGAAAAATTTAGTCCAGCCCATAGACTTGAAAATCTCTTGAGAATTCCTGAAGTTGGACACTTTCTTAAGTACTTACCCTTTCTTTCCATTTGTTAATTTAGCAGGTCCAGTGTGCTTTCCTGAAGGTATTACCTATGACATAATACATTATATTATAGGAGATATACAAATATTTTTCTATCATATTCTCAGTATACTGTTTTGACAAAATCTAAAATGTTATTCATTGTTTCCTTTTGTTTCACTTGGTAAAACATACATAACATAAAATAAACCATTTTAAAGTATACAGCTCTGTGGCATTAAACACGTTCACAGTTGCACAACCATCACTACAGCCCATCTCCAGAACTTTGTCATCTTCCCAAACTGAAATTCTGTACCCATTAATCATTAATCTCTAATCCTCTCCTCTCCTAAGTACCTGGTATAACCACCCTTCTACTTTTGGTCTCACTGTTCTAGGAATCTCATATAAATGGAATCAGATAGTATTTGTCCTTTTGTGACTGGCTTACTTTGCTTAGCACAGTATCTTCATAATATCCACGTTGCAGCATGTGCAAAATTTCCTTCTTGTTAAGGCTGAATAATACTCCATTTTATATATGTACCATGTTATTAATTTTAATAAAATCCACTATTATAACTGAACTCATAAATTATTTTTTTCTATATAAAATGTCAAGCAAGCAACACATAGATTTGTTCCTTAAGTCTATGTAAGTTGAAGATTGAAGTTGAAATTTTACTTTAACCAGAAGTATCTACTATAGTAAGTCTGGACTATACTCAATCCCTCAAAATATTCTACTTCCCCTAGGTCTTTAAAATACACGTTAACTCAAGATATAGGGCAGAGTTCATAATTCTGATTCTATTTTTCCACATTCTTTAGAATGCCTGACAAGACTAGCACGTGAAAACTGTACTCATTTGCTTCTAAATGCATACAATACATTGGGAGTTACACAAGAAACAAGTTAAGTGTGCTTGCCTCTGGGGAGGGAAACTGAGAATCCAGGGGACAGAACAAGGGAGACTTTCCATGGTATACCTTTTTATATCTTAATACATCATTTAAATATAGTATCTATTCAAAATTTAAAAGACATGGTTAAATTTCCTACTCACTCCCCCATTTTACCCTTTAGGTGTAGTCACTGTTGGCAGTTACACTTAGGATTTTTCTTGACACGTTTATGTATTTCATCTCAAGATACCGTTGAGCAATTACTATTAAACTTTCTGGAATTATAAAGTTTCACTTCTCCTTAAGATAACTTAGAATATGAGGGAGTCATAAAGCAGCAGTGAGAACCAACATTGGCGGAAATAAGACGCCGTGTAACACAACTCCATTAGACCCTGCATGACCCCCTCAGGGGCTTTCTTTTCACAGTATCTATGTTGGTGTCCTGTCCAGGACCATAATAAAAAGCCAAACCTTCATGTTAAGTCTAAAAACAACTACCACAATAATTGTCTTTCAGAATTAAAAAAGGATACTGTCTAGATAAATGTATGGCATAATGGCATAATTGAAAGATTATATACAGCATTTCACCGAAACACACACACACACACACACACACATTAGGTCATATTACAAAAAAAAATCAGGTAAAGAAAATTAACCAGAATAAAGCAGCCTGCAACAGTGTGATACTGGCAGATTCCCTTCAAATTTATTTTGTATTCTTTATTTTGAAATAATAGTACAAAGAACAGTATAATGCTACCAAGATTCCATAACTGCTGACATTTTACTACACCTGCCCTGCTCTCCCTTTCAAAAATGTATAGTATTACTTTTTGTCTGAACCATTTTAGATTATGTTACAGACATGATACTGCTTTAAATTTAAATATTTATTCCTAAATATTTCCCAAGGACAAGGTCACTCTCTCAAAAAAACCAAAGTATAATTATCAAAATCAGGAAATTAACAATGAAACCATACTATAATCTAATCTACAGATCTTATTTACATTTTGCCAATTATCAAAATACTGTCCTTTACATTAAAAAAAAAAAAAATTACGGCCCTTATCCCATAAATCCAGGATCACACGAAGCATTTTAAGTGGTCATATCTCTTTAGTCTCCTTTACTCTGGAACAGTTCCTAGAGGTGTCATTCATTGTCTTTTACAGCCTTGACATATTCAAAGAATATGAGCAGTTACTCTGGTAGAATGTCCCTCTGGTAAACATTTAGACTTGTCTGCTTCCTCTTGATTAGTTTCAGGTTGTGCTTTTTTGGCAGGAATACCATAAAAGGGATGTTGTATTTATCTCAGTACCGTATGAGCAGGCATATGTTAGTTTGTCCCATTACTAGGGTTGTAAAGTTTGATTATTTAAGGTGGTGCCTGCCAGATTTTTCAACAGGTTACTATTTTTACCTTTGTAAATATTAAGCATTTTGTTGGGAGATACTTGAAGATTATGCAGACATCCTATTTATCAAACTTTCATTCAATAGCATTCATTGAGGATTCTTGCCTTAATCATTTGTCAAATAGTGATTTTTCTAACTTACATTATTCATTCTAGATTTATTAGTTGGCATTCAACCTTAGTGAAGTATTTCAAAAGTACTTCTTTGCTAGTATGGACTCATTGATTCCTAGTTTATTTAATGGGTTATGATGATTATCATTATTTATATCAATGCTCAAACTGTCCCAGATTCTGCCAATAGGAGTCTTTTCAAACCAGCCCCTGTATCATTTTAACATGTCACCATTATTTTTGAGCCATTCCTTACAGTAAAGATCTCCAGGTCCCCCCTCCCCTTTTTTCTCCCCTTTGTGGTAACATGAAATTTACCCTCAATAAATTTTAAGTGTACATCAATTGTTAACTGTAGTATGATGTTTACGGGATTCCCTGGTGGCTCAGATGGTAAAGAGTCTGCCCTCAGTGTGGGAGACCTGGATTCCATCCCTGGATTGAGATCACCTGGAGAAGGAAATGGCAACCCACTCCAGTATTCTTGCCTGGAAAATCCCATGGATGGAGAAGCCTGGCAGGTTACATACCACGGGGTTGAAGAGTCAGACATGACTGAGTGACCTCACTTTCACATGTTTACAGCAGATCTCAGATCTATCTCATAAATATAACAGAGCTTATTCATTGTACATAACTAAAACTTTATGCTCACTGAATAGCAGCTCTCCATTTCTCTCCCTCCAGCCCCTGGCAACAACCACCCTACTTACTCTGTTTCTATGAGTCTGACTATTTTAGATACCTCATATAAGGGGAATGATGCAGATGACATAACCCTTATGGCAGAAAGTGAAGAACTAGAGAGCTTCTTGATGAAAGTGAAAGAGAAGAGTGAAAAAGTTGGCTTAAAGCTCAACAATCAGAAAACTAAGATCATGGCATCCGGTCCCATCACTTCATGGCAAATAGATGGGTAAACAGTGGCTGACTTTTTTTGGGCTCCAAAATCACTGCAGATGGTGACTGCAGCATTGAAATTAAAAGATGCTTACTCGTTGAAAGGAAAGTTATGACCAACCTAGACAGCATTTTAAAAAGCAGAGACAATACTTTGTCAGCAAAGGTCCATCTAGTCAAGGCTATGGTTTTTCCAGTAGTCATGTATGGATGTGAGAGTTGGAATATAAAGAAAGCTGTGTGCTGAAGAATTGATGCTTTTGAACTGTGGTGTTGGAGAAGACTCTTGAGAGTCCCTTGGACTGCAAGGAGATCTAACCAGTCCATCCTAAAGGAGATCAGTCCTGCATGTTCATTGTAAGGACTGATGCTGAAGCTGAAACTCAAATACTTTGGCCACCTGACTCATTTGAAAAGGCCCTGATGCTGGGAAAAATTGAGGAGAAGGGGACAACAAAGAATGAGATGGTTGGATGGCATCACTGACTCAATGGACATGGGTTTGGGTAGACTCCAGGAGTTGGTGATGGACAGGGAGGTCTGGCATGCTGCAGTTCATGGGGTCGCAAAGTGTCGGACATGACTGAGTGACTAAACTGAAGTGGCTTATTTCACTTAGCAAAGTATCCTCAAGATCCACTGATGTTGCATATAGCATGACTTCCTTCCTTCTGAAAGGCTGAGTAATATTCCATTGTGTATCCACTAATCCATCAATGGACACTTAGGTTGTTATCACATCTTAGCTATTGTGAATGTTATAATGAACATGTGAGTGCAAATATCTCTTAAGATCCTATTTTTAACTCTCCTGGATAAACAACCAAAGTGAGAATGCTGGATCACATAACAATTCTACTTTTAATTTTGGAGGAAATTTCATGATTTTTCATAACAGCTGCACCCTGACATTCCCATGAACAGTGTATAAGGGTTCAAATTTCTCCATTTCCTCATCAACATTTGTTATTTTCTGGATTGGCTTTGTTTTTATGATAGCCATCCCAACAGGTGTGAGGTGATATCTCGCTGTGGCTTCGATCTGCATTCCCCTGATTAGTGATATTGAGCATCTTTCCATATACTTGCTGACCATCTGTATGTCTTCTTTGGAGAAATGCCTATTCAAGTCCCTTGCCTATGAATGCTACTGAATTGTAGGAGTTCCTTGTATATTATGATTATGAACCTTTTATCAGATATGCAGTTTTAAATATTTTTCCTCATTCCATAAGTTGACTTTGCAGTGTTAATTGTGAAAAGCTGTGCAGCTTTTTACTTTGATATATCCAGGCCCCAACCCTAGAGTTGACCATTTCCCCAAAAAGTAGTGATTCCTTTCAGTGGACAACAGTATTTATTAATAGAAACCAAGATCTAGGCACTGGCTGTGCTCTTTGCTACTGAGCCTTCATATGGATTATTTAGTCATCATGATTAGACAGTTACAATTTTGAGTCTTTTTGTTTGTTTGTTTTTGCAATTTTGAGTCTTGTGTTTTTACTTTCAAATCTTTTTCCATATTAACAAAGTTCAAAATGTTTTAACAGTTGTATACTATTTCCTTAAGTGGAAGTAATATAATGTACCCTTGATGTCCTTCATATTTTTCAGTTAAAATACAAATCTGAAATAAATCTTTTCATATACTGGAAATACCTTTTCATATTCAGGATTGAAAGCTTAACTATTTGATAAAAAATTATTCATTGTTTAATGCCTTTAGTGCCCCCAGAGACAAACTGCAAAACCACTTTTCAAAACAAGTGCCCCAAATGGCAATACATAAGAGAATGTTTGTTTTATCCCACATTTACTTCCACTAAGTATTAGCAATAAACTTTTTACTTTATTATTTGAGAAAAACATAAGTACCTCTTAGGAGCTATATCTCTTACCAACAAGTGCAAGATAAGATTATATTTGTGGAATAATTTAGTGTACAAAGCCTTTCATTCCACTTAATCAACACCCTGTTAGTTATTATTTCTGTGAGGTAAGAACCTAAATTTCAGAAAGGTGGCTTGTTCAGAGTCATACACCTAACAGCAGATGTTTAAATGGACTCCGGCACCAACTGTGTGGGTCTAAAGCCTGTCTGCACTGCTAACCAGCTGTGTAACTATAGAGAAGTTATCTGAATTCTGCATCCCTCAACTTCCTCATCTATAAAATGAGGATTATTATCTACTTCCTATGCCTATTGTGAAGATTAAATGAGAATTGTATGTAAAAGCACATAGAATAGTACCTGTCACATAAGTGCTACCCAAATGTTAGCTGTGATTATCATCATTGACAGTAATAAACTGCTTTTAAAGGGACTACATTGTGTTGCACAATTTATACCAAGTGTGAAATAGATGTTTTACCAGGTTCTCTCATTTAATCTTCCCAATTCTTTAAGGCAGGACATTACACCTACTTTATAGATAAGAAAAATAAATCTCAGAGACGTAAAAAGTACTTTGCTTACTATCACTATGACAGTAGTGGCAGAACTGGAATCTGAATTGGTACGTGATATGACTACAAAAACCATGTTTTTACCCCTTGCTGACTGCACCAAGTGAATTCATTCAACATAAAAGAACGAACTATAAGGGTGGGACTGGTCTGGAAGCATTCACGAATAAAGTCTTGAGCCAAGCCTTGGGCAAAAGTGTAGATTCACATTAATAGGGGAGACAGCATTAAAAGTGAATTGATAAAGGAAGAGCAAAAATGAAAGGGGAAAGAAGGGCGGTATGGTTACACTTAAGGATGCGAAAGATCACTCTAAGTAGAGGGTCTGTGCAAGGCTTCATTGATTCCTATTGGTTGACTGATTGATTACCTGAAAAGACAGAGATAAACTACTTAGTAGCAGAGGAAGATGAGCAATGTCTCTAGTCTGGATTTTAGTAAGGGCATAAAACGGGAGCTGAGGGCATCCAAACAATGTAAATGTTGACAGTGCCCGACAAGTCTTCTAGAAGTGGTACCTGAGCTGAGGAGACAGGGGATGAAAAATGGAGATTTCAGGGAGAGAAGGGTATTCTAGGCAGAACAAAAAGCAAAGGCACAGAAGCCTGAAAGAACACGGGCACTCAGGGCACTGTGGAAGAAATAGCTGAAGAGCGTTGGATATTCCTGGATGGAGGTGGGGACTGGTAGGGAATGCACTCGCCACGTCGAAAAATGGCTGTTGACAGGTCAAAGAGCTGAGATTTTTCTCTTAGGGGAGGGGAAAAAAAAAAGTTCCAGAGTTGGATTTTTAGCAGAGAATTGATGAGGAGTGTGCATTTGAGACGGATAAGGCTAAATGCAGGGACACTACCTGGGAGACTTTTTAAAAAACTAGTAGTAAAATACCAGCAACTGTGACGGAAAACCAGCTAATAGCAGCACTTGTTGGAAAAGCTGGGAACCGGAGTTGATGCAACAACGTCGTGAGGCTCCGAGAGGTTAAGTCACGCAGCCAGCGGCTGAGGCTGAACTCGAACCCGGGGACCACACCAAAGCCAGCGCTCAGCTGGACCACAACGATTAAAACAGAATCTACATCTACAGGCAGAACAACTGTGTTAGGGCGTTAAGATTCGGTACTCACACCCACCCTCCGCCTGGTCTCCTGTCGCAGCATTTTTTAACGCGGCAGCACTGTTTTTATTGTTTTCAAAGGGGGCTTTCCACTTCTCCAGGCCCGAAGACTACCTCCGTCCCTCTCGACCCCCACAGTGGACGCCTCAGGTCCGCAGACCTCACCTGGCCCGGTCGAGATCCAGACCTGACCATCTCTCGCAGCTTCAGAAAAGTCCAAACGGAGTGAAGCAAAGCCGCAAGGTAAAAGGAATTAACCGCCGCCGACTCCCGGCCGCCCTTGGCCCGCCCCCCGAGCTTCCGCTTCCGGGAAAGAGCCCGCCGAATGCTGCGCCTCATAGTCCCGGGCGCGCAACCAGAACCTCTCTCCGACCCACCGCTCGGCGCCTTGGGTTTGCGCAATAGACCCCTCCAGCCCCGGCTCGTCACACTCGGCTGCACGGTGAGAGAGGTCCACAGAACGCCGCCGCGCGTTGCGGGCCTGGGGCGGGGCGGGGCGGGGCCGAGAGGGGCGGGGCGGAGAAGGGCGGGACGAGGAGCGGGAGCGCTGCGCTGACCGGAATCCATGATCACCTGGGAGACCTGAGCTTGCTGCCGCGAGGGCTTCCACTGGAGGGAGAGCCGTTGTCCTGCATCTGCTAGGGGAAGTGGCAACGGGGACACGCCGAGACCAGAGGAAGGGACTACGGTAGAAGGCGAATTGGTTTCAGAAGGGATTGCACTGTCTCTGGATTTTGACCCTGTATTTTTTGTTGGTGTTTTGTATGCTATTTTGAATGTTTTTGTTCTTGGTAATTAATAAACATCAATCCTCCGCCCTGTTTTCTTTGTGTGATTCTGATAGCAATTTAAGATTTTTAATTCTGTGGCCTAATAATCGTGCTCATTAGTTGCTATTTTAGTTTTACTTCCAGGCATAGTTGTTTCTTCAGTGGAGGTAATCACTGTTAACAAAGAATAGCACAGTATTCTTACCATTGACGTGCTGCACGAATTTTAATGGAAATGTCTTTGTTTTTAAGGTTTTGAGTTTGGGGTTAATGTTTTAAGTAGAGCTGAAGAGAAATTAACCCAACTTATTTCATTTTAAAGTAAGAAAGAAAAAAATCTACGTCTTATAAGTCCTAATTACAATTAAAATAACCCCAAAACTGAAATCTATGTACCAATATATTGCACACTTGTAGTGGGTGATTTAGCGAAACTAGATATTTGATAAATTTAGCTTTGAATTAGATTAAAAAACTGAGGAGAACTCTCTATTCCCTCTTCATCTATCCTATAAAGTGTTTAACATATTCGACAGTTTTCAGTTTTTTCTTAGTTGATTTTTCAAAACTTATACTGATTTTTCCTAATTAATACAGGCTTATTTTAGGAAACACAGATAAAGAAATAAAACTCATGATCCCACTAGATTGGTACATTCCCTTCTAGACTTTTTCCAACTACATACAGACAGTCCCCATTTATGATGGTCCAGCTAAGGATTTTTCAGCTTTATGATGGTGTGAAAGCAATATGTGTTCAGTAGAAACTGTACTTTTAATTTTGGATTTTGACCTTTTCCCAGCCTAGTTATATGAGGTAAGATACTCTCTCATGATGCTGGGCATCTTAGGTAGCCTCAGTTCCCAGCTAGCCACAAAGTGAGGACAGTGCACTGTGACTGAGCATGTTTAACGTAGCCTCGGTTAAGCTATGGGCTTCCCCTCGGTGGCTCAGCAGTAAAGAATCTGCCTGCAATGCAGGAGAAATCCAGTTTAATCCCTAGGTGAGGAAGATCTCCTGGAGGAGGAAATGGCAACCTACTCAGGTGTTCTTGCCTGGGAAATCCCATGGACTGAGGAGGCTGATGAGCTACAGTCCATGGGGTCGCAAAGATGTCGGACAGGACTTACTGACTAAACAACCAACAACAATAATCCCATGGTAACCAAGGAGCAAGTGAATAACATACAAATATATTACAGTTACAATACAATAGGATGCGTATTACTGAAACTTGAGTGTTTTAATATCTCATCTATGTTGTTTATTAACCTACAATTACAAAATGGCTGCCTGATGGTCATTTCCCTAATCTTTGGAATTTTATGCTTCTCCCGTCCATTTTTTTTGTTTCATTGGGGTTTTTACCTCTTTATAAGTTTTTAAGATAATAATTCCTGATGCTTTTTTTTAATTAAAATTTTTTATTGTGGAAAAATAGACAAATCATAAAATTTGCCATCTGAACCAATATTAAGTGTACAATTCAGTAGTTGTAAATACATTGCAATATTGTGCACCCATCATCACTATACATCTCCAGAACTTTTCATCTTGTAAAACTAAAATACTATAGCCATCAAACAATGAATCCCCATTCACCCATCCTCCAGTCCTTGACAACCACTGTTCTACTTTCTATGTTTTTTACTACTCTTAAGTACCTCATATAAGTGGGATCACATGGTAATTGCCCTTTTGTGACTGGCATATTTTATGTGTCTTCAAGGTTTATCAATCTTGTAGCATGTATCAAAATTTCCTTTCTTTTTGAAGCTAAATAATATTCCATTGTATGTATATGCCACATTTATCTATCCATCTATCTCTTGATGGACTCTTGGGTTGCTTCAAAATTTTAGCTATTGTGATGAATATTGTTGCTATAAACATGGGTGTACTAGTATCTTTCTCAGACTCTGATTTCAATTCTTTTGGGTATATACCCAGAACTACTGGATCATATGATAGTTCTATTTTTAAATTTTTTGACAAACCACCATACTCTTTTCCACAATGGCTGCACCATTTTACATTCCCATCAACAGTGCACAAGTGTTCCAATTTCTCCACATTCTCCTCAACACTTGTTATTTTCTTTCTTTTGATGGTGGTGGTGATGGTGGTTTAGTTGCTAAGTTGTGTCTGACTGTAGTGACCCCATGGACTGTAGCCTTCCGGGCCCCTCTGTCCATGGGATTCTCCAGGCAAAAGTACTGGAGTGGGTTGCCATTTCCTTCTCCAGGGGATCTTCCTGACCCAGGGATTGACCCAGGGATCGAACCAGGGTCTCCTGCATTGCAGGCAGATTCTTTAGCAACTGAGCTACGAGGCCATCCTAATTGGTGGGAGGTGGTATTTCACTGTAATTTTTATTTGAATTTCCCTAATGATTAATGGAGGAGACCTTATAAGTAGCTGAGAAAAGAAGAGAAGGTAAAGGCAAAGAAGAAAAGGAAAGGCATACCGTTTGAATGCAAGGCTCCAAAGAATATCAAGGAGAGATAAGAAAGCCTTCCTCAGTGAACAATGCAAAGACATAGAGGAAAACAATAGAATGGGAAAGACTAAAGATCCCTTCAAGAAAATTAGAGATACCAAGGGAAATTTTCATGCAAAGATGGGCACAATAAAGGACAGAAATGGTATGGACCTAACAGAAGCAGAAGATATTAAGAAGAGGTGACAAGGATACTCGGAAGAACTATACAAAAAAGATCTTCATGACCCAGATAATCACGATGGTGTGATCACTCGGCCAGACATCCTGAAATGGGAAGTCAAGTGGGCCTTAGGAAGCATCACTATGAACAAAGCTAGTAGAGGTGATGGAATTCCAGTTGAGCTATTTAAAGTCCTAAAAGATGATGCTGTGAAAGTGCTGCACTCAATATGCCAGCAAATTTGGAAAACTCAGCAGTGACCACAGGACTGGAAAAGGTCAGTTTTCACTCCAATCCCAAAGAAAGGCAATACCAAAGAATGTTCAAACTACTGCACAATTGCACTCACCTCACACGCTAGCAAAGTAATGCTCAAAATTCTCCAAGCCAGACTTCAACAGTATGTGAACCGTGAACTTCTAGATGTTCAAGCTGGATTTAGAAAGGCAGAGGAACCAGAGATCAAAGTGCCAACATCTGCTGAATCATTGAAAAAGCAAGAGAGTTCCAGAAAAACATCTACTTCTGCTTTATTGACTACGCCAAAGCCTTTGACTGTGTGGATCACAACAAACTGTGGAAAATTCTTCAAGAGGGGGAATACCAGATCACCTTACCTGCCTCCTAAGAAATCTCCTAAGAAATGCAAGTCAAGAAGCAACAGTTAGAACCGGACATGGAACAACAGACTGGTTCCAAATTGGGAAAGGAATATGTCAAGGCTGTATATTGTCACCCTGCTTATTTAACTTATATGCAGAGTACATCATGAGAAACGCTGGGCTGGATGAAGCACAAGCTAGAATCAAGATCGCAGGGAGAAATATCAATAAACCTCAGATACGCAGATGACACCACCCTTATGGCAGAAAGTGAAGAAGAACTAAAGAGCCTCTTAATGAAGGTGAAAGAGGAAAAAGTTGACTTAAAACTCAGCATTCAAAAAGCTAAGATCATGGCATCCGGTCCCATCACTTCATGTCAAATAGATGGGGAAACAATGAAAACAGTGAGAGCCTATTTTTGGGGAGCTCCAAAATCACTACAGATGGTGACTGCAGCCATGATGACTTGCATGGTGACAGCATGGTGACTTGCTCCTTGGAAGAAAATCTATAACCAACATAGACAGCAGCAGAGACATCACTTTACCAACAAAGGTCTGTCTATTCAAAGCTGTCTTTCTAGTTGTCATGTATGAATGTGAGAGTTGGACTATAATGAAAGCTGAGCACCAAAGAATTGATGCTTTTGAACTGTGGTGTTGGAGAAGACTCTTGAGAGTCCTTTGGACTGCAAGGAGATCAAACCAGTCCATCCTAAAGGAAATTAGTTCTGAATATTCATTGGAAGGACTGATGCTGAAGTTGACATTTCAATACTTTGGCCACCTTATACAAAGAACTGACTCATTGGAAAAGAACTTGATGCTAGGAAAGATTGAAGATGGGAGGAGAAGGGGACGACAGAGGATGAGATAATTGGATGGCATCACCGACTCAATGGACATGAGTTTGAACAAGCTCCAGGGGTTGGCAGTGGACAGGGAAGCCTGGCATGCTGCAGTCCACGGGGTCACAAAGATTCATACATGACGGAGTGACTGAACCGAACTGAATGATTAATATTGTTGAGCATCTTTTCATATGCTTATTGGCCATCACATATTTTCTTTGGAGAAGTGTCTGTTCAAGGCCTTTGCCTTTTTAAAAGTTGAGTTGTTGTATTTTTATTGTTGATTTTTAGGAGATCTGTGCATATTTTGGATATTAATCTCTTGTCATATATATGATTTGCAAATATTTTCTCTCATTCTGTGATTTGCCTTTTTACTTTGTTGATACTGTCTGTTGATATACAAAATTTTTTTATTTTCATGAAATTTCCAATTTTTCCCTTTTTTTC